GTTTATGGAAGATTCGACATTCTGTCTGCAATTAATGAGGTTATTTAAGACTTCCCAACATTTTTTAACAGTTTGGCCGCCGAACATGTCTTAAAGATTATTCATAATCTGGTGAGTAGTTATGTAATCTTCATGTTGTGCTTAAAGCACAATGGACATGCTCGTCATCATATAACAGCGAGTCATATCGTCAGAGTCCTTCCAGCGTTGATATGTGTTATAACCTTTGGGTAGACTCATCCCCAAAAGCTAGCTTGTAAGGAGAGGGTGCCTAAGTGGTTATAAACCCACATGTTAAGCCCATACTTTAGCAATGTGGGACTCAACTAGGATCCTAACATACCACCACGCTTCTGACATCGACGTCCATGGTGGCCTACTCTGGATGGCCCACTCTGGCCTTTCCAGGTCGCCTCTCCCCAAGTCGCTCCTTCCGCAACGTGGGCTTGAGGAGGAGCATGTTCTGATACCAATTGTTATAATCTTTAGGTCGAACTCATCCCTAAAAGCTAGCTTGTAGGGAGAGGGTGCCCAAGTGGTTATAAACCCACATGCTAAGCCCATACTTTAGCAATGTGGGACTCAACCATGATCTTAACATACCACCACGCTTCAGACACCGACGTCCATGGCGGCCCACTCTGGATGGCCTACTCTGGCATTTCCAGGTCGCCCTTTCCGCAACGTGGGCCTGAGGAGGAGCATGCTCTGATACCAATTGTTATAACCCTTGGGTAGAACTCATCCCCAAAAGCTAGCTTGTAGGGAGAGGGTGCCCAAGTGGTTATAAACCCACATGCTAAGCTCATACTTTAATAATGTGGACTCAACCAGGATCCTAACATACTACCACGCTTCCGACACCGACGCCCACGGCGGCCCACTCTTGGGGAGGGGCGACTTGGAAAGGCCAGAGTGGGCCATCCAGAGTGGGCCGCCCTGAACATCGGTGTCAGAAGCGTGGTGGTATGTTAGGAACCTGGTTAAGTCCCACATTGCTAAAGTATGGGCTTAGCATGTGGGTTTATAACCACTTGAACCTCTCCCTACAATCTAGCTTTTGGGGATGAGTTATACCCAAGAGTTATAACAATATGCTAGGAAAACCTCATTAGGAGCATCAACAGGTGGCTCCGGAGGATAAGGTGTATTCAGTACGAAATTTAGTTTTTCAAAGGTTAGGACGATCTTTAGGTTCCTTTTCTAATCTGTAAAATTCTCACAAGTTAAAGTGTGTTTGTTAAGTATCGATGATAATGCGCTAGCAGACATTTTGATCTACAATAAACCTTCATATAGTATAAGCAAACTTGCAATAATATTTAGTAATGAAACTTATATACATATTATAATGCAACCAATATGTTTGTGTCAAAATTTTAAAAAAATCACAACCTTACAATGATAATTCCTAACTCAAAATTTTTTAAGTCTCTTAGGGAGATCATGTAAAATTCAATTGAAAACACGAATCCTCTCCGATCAATATATACCATCCGGATCAATTTCTGTCCAGTATATATTGATAATCGTTTTCTTTGGCCATTAATTTAATTAACAGAGCTCTTAGGGGAGATTAATAATTAAATTAATCTTGAGTGTATAACCATCGTTTCAACTATTTGATCCCTATTTTATAATTGTCACCTAGGAGTGTACAACCAAAAAATATGTTCAAATAAATTATCCTCTTAGAGATCCACACCGGTACATAATGAATCCCTTCCTAGGGGTCGGTATCACTATGTGTTACCTGTGAACCAATGATAGAGGCCATGAGTTTTTTCTTCAAAAACCCTTACCCACTCAATCTTTTAGAAATCAAGGTTTTATGTTAAAAATATGCATGAACAATTTTAATCAGTGACACTCTATTTTACATAACACGTTATCACATATATAACAAATCATATTATATGCAATCATACAAAATAATTAAGCTAAGCAACAAACATAATAAATAATAATAACTGAAATATTATGGTTTCATCCTATAGAAAAGAAAAAATAAAGATTACTAAGAATAATCGAAACATATATCGATCTTTCATCTTGAATTTTTCCGGTTGTCCTTGAATTCTTTATCACGATCAAATTTTGGTTATCATAAAATTCTTTTTCATGTTTTCTTGAAAAAATCTCAAAAAACTGCAAAATCGTGCACTACCACGTTAGGTCCGGTCGACCGGTGACGGAGCAGTTATTTTCCACCGGTCGACCGCTTTACACTAACCGGCTGACTAGAGAGGTAGACCGGTGTCTGTGCGACAGTAACCCAGATTTTCTGAATTTTCAGATTTTTGGCAATTTTGAAAAATTGTCACCAAAATCCGAAAAAACGGAATTCAAAACACAAAACAATTTTATAAACTAAGAAAAATTAGATACTTTTACATCCTTCATCTTGAAGATTCACCTTCAAGATTCATGATAAATCTCCTCCAAGAATTTTTTTTTACATGAAAATTCCTATACCGTTTCTGATTTACAAAATTTCTACGAAAGAAAATAATATAAATCCTAACGGCGATGATAGGCCGTATATCTAATTACATTGCCAAGAACAAATTCCTATATAACCATTCTAAACTTTAAGGAACCATAACGGGTAAACAATTAAATAATCAAAAAATATTGATAATTTATAAATAATAATCAATAGTAATTGTTTAATCATCCATTCACCATGTATTCATGATAACAAAAAATATAAAAACCCTAGAGTGTCAACTCTTTAAAATATCAATTCAAGCAAAAAAGAGATATTTTTTAAATCACAAATTTATGTACATAGCATAATCATGAATAAATAACCATGACTCTTATACTAATTGTTGTAATATACGGCATCGAGTGCGCATTGAAATTTAAAAAAAAAAAATTTAAATTAATGCCAAAGTTAAACAAGAACATGTTCATGATGCTATATAACATAAATACTAAAGATCTAAATCATACTTTTAAAGATTTAAGAAACATCACGTTTGACAGATCAAAGCGTTCCAAATAACAACTGGAAGAGCCTCAACTAACTAGTCTTCTTTGCTATTCTCGTTTCCACGATTGGAGTGCAGGTGGGTACACGTCGTTCAATCTACTCTTAGTATTCTTGAACTCCTTCCAATCACAAGAGAGCCAAAAGAAAAATAGTTCTTGAGAATTAAACAATTTTTTCTCTCAGGAATCTTTTGCCAATAGCCCCCAAGAAGTCTCTCAAGTGATCTCATGAATAATGTGACTTACGGAGCTATTTATAGTGTTTAGAAAGTCATATTTCCGTAATAATTAGGTTTCCCAAAGTTTATCTCGCTTACAAAGTCAGTTTCGCCACTTCAGCGTGCGTTACACCTTACAACTGGTCGACCGGTGATAGAGATGTTATAACTCACCGGTCAACTTGTCTTTCATGAACCAGTCGACCTGTTTGAGCTAGTGAGACTTGTTTTCCTAGTTTTTCAATACGGGAAACTGACACAGAGCTTCAATTTTGATTCAAACAACCCAATAGAGAAGTTGCCTGATCAAAACAGTCATATAACAGTCTTTCCATATTAAACAACTCTTAAAACAATAATTCAACCAATTTATCTAGAATTAATTTATCAATTAATTCACCCGATAAATCACTCATGAATTAACTAACCAATCTCATATTAACTTTGAACCTCTTTTACAGAATTAACACAAGTTATCAATATGTAGGAAATACACCGTATCGTTACAGAAAATTATGTGAGCTAGTAAAGGGACCCGATGGACATACATAAATCAAGCTCCTATAATCACAACGTGACATGTAAACCAACAAGTCCGTCTCATGATTATAAAACTCTAGCGCTACTTCACTGAAAACCTAAAGCTGCACTCTCGATTTATATAACACATTTACAAAACTCTGAATAGTTCTCGTCCATGACTCAATATATTAGTGTATCATCCACATAGGATATCCATAATCGACTTGAGGTCAAGTTTCGGTTTACCTTCCCGATTACATTTATCTTATGTTCCATTACCTCTCCGTCAGAAAACTATTATTCATATCATAGTAAACCATTAGATAACACAAACTAGTCTAATGGCTGAGCGCTTGTATTTTCCAATCCACAGATGATGCATAAGAGGATATCATTGACTCTTTTTAGGAGTTATGGATTCCACTATCTATGAATAATGAATTTACGCATACACGAGTCATATCCCTAATGTACCGGTAAGCGTATACATAATGTCATGATGTCTCTCTTTGGTACATCAAATGGTACAAGTCAAGCATACGGGTTCATTATCCATCTCAGGATTAAGATGACCGCATATAATTCGTCAAAAGTGAATTGTTTTATACAAACGGAATTATTAATTAAAACAATTCAACTTTGGTCCGACCCAATATAGATTTCACCATTAAAAGCTATATCAATGTCTCTACCCATAGAGTCCCACCTCCGACGACCAAGACAAGCCGTCTGCGTTAAGAAGTAGACAATATAACAATCTTAACATGAATAAAGCGTCAAACTTTATTCCATCGATTGTGGATCATATGATTTAGATTATCATCTTTAGATTCCTGTCTTCCGCATGTTCTTCACATTACATGCATGACCTAAAGATTTAGAATAACAGTCTCAGACTTTCAGCTTACTTATCATACATTCAACTAATATGAACATAACGAGGACAATACACAGATATATGAAATAAATAAATCTTTATTAATAGTCAAAATGTCTCAAAGAATATTATTACATTTAAGAACACTAACATCATCTCCTCTTATTATATTAATTTTGCCTATCACAAGTAGTTTAGATGCATTTCTTTTAGTCCAGATGCTGAAAACCTTTGTCCAAGTGTTTCAGATTAGTGACTAGTGAGTATTATTTACATAAGCCGTTTCAAAATGGAAGAAGTTAGGTCATATTTGCATGAACATATTCACCAATTCAGTGATTCAATAGTTTATGAATTCATTCTCCTGTCGGGTTCTGCCTTTGTAGGTTAGGTTCCATCCGCTCTGTCCAGACCTACTTGCTAGTGGAAGTTTGGATCATGAAGTTCGTTTATGGGATGCAAAAACTGCAGAGTGTATAGGATCACGCGATTTCTGTAATAAATTTTGCAGATTTCCATGAATTATATTTTTTTGAAAAGGAAAAAAATAATAAACAAATTTTAATAGTAATATGATTAATTAATGAATTTTTTTTTTTTTTAATAACATGCAGACCGCCCTATTGCTTCTATAGCTTTTCATGCCCAAGGGGATCTTCTTGCAGTAGCATCAGGTCACAAGGTGATGAATTTTATTTAGTAGCTTCGTGTGAGAAACTAGATTATATCATTTGTTGTTGATCCTGACCTTGAAAAGATTCTATTAGCTTTACATATGGCACTACAATAGAAGAGGGGAGACATCTTCTCCGGCCATAGTACTAAGGACACGGCGTTCACTTCGGGCTGTCCATTTCCACCCACATGCTGCTCCCTTCCTTTTAACAGCTGAGGTTATATCTATATATATATTTTCTTCTAACCTAAATTATGATTATAGTTAGTTGAACTCTATTTAATGTATTCTATGGTACTTATTTGTAGGTCAATGACATTGATTCATCAGATTCCTCGATGACACTGGCAACTTCTCCAGGCTATTTGCGCTATCCTCCTCCTACTGTATATTTAGCAGATGGTCATCCTACTGAGCGTTCTACTTTTGCAGATGGAGTGCCTCTTGCATCGTTTCCATTTCTGATATGGCCTTCATTTGCTAGAGATAATGGGAGAGTATCTGTGCAACGTACTGAATCTGATGTTGGTTCAAGCGGCGTCCAGCAAAGACTTGATCCTTCTGCTTCAGTACGGCTTTTAACTTATTCAACTCCATCAGGACAGTATGAACTTCTGCTATCCCCTATCGAACCTAATGGCTCTTCGCCAGTCCCAGAAGAAACAGGAACTAATCCTTTCTCGAGTGAGATGGAAACCGAACTTTCTCAATCTGCAATTGATACTGTAGAGCCTATGGAAGTACAGGCTGAAGGGAGAACAAATCCTGTTTTCCCTTTTGGTGACCCGACATATTGGGAGGTACCTTTCTTGCAAGGGTGGTTAATGGGTCAGACCCAAGCTGGTCAACGTAATATGCAGCCCCTTAATAGTGCTGCTAATGAAAACGCTTCTGCACAAGGGGAGATGGGAGCTATTCCGATGTTGTCCTCAGTTATTCCAACCAGTCTTAGCCAATCTAGGGTTACTGGACGATCCAGTTCAAGACATCGTTCTTCACGTTCTCGTGCAATATCTGTGACTGGTGTTAATGAAGATGCTGGTTTAAACAGTAGCATGCATGATGAGGGTCATGCTCAACCTGTTGGTAGAATCCAATCAGAACTTGCCACTTCACTTGCTGCAGCAGCAGCTGCAGAGTTACCATGCACAGTCAAGCTTAGAATATGGCCTCATGATGTGAAAAATCCATGTGCGCCACTTGATGCAGAAAGATGTCGTTTAACAATTCCCCATGTTGTACTCTGTAGGTATGTTCCCATCCCCATGATCATATCTACAAGCTGGTTCCCATACTATAAAATGATCATATTCCCAATTTTCCCTTTTTGAATGTTTTTTGCCTTGCGTCAGTTGGGGCTTGGATTCAGTTCTTATTTGTATTAAGTTGATACTCAAGAAGGTTTTTATTTTCAAATCAAGAGTGAGCTTATACACATTGAGCTTCTGTGCTTGCAACTCTATATGACATTTGTAGTATGCCCGTTGATACCAATACTGGAGCAAAATTTTTCGGAGTCTTTACTCGAGGTGTATTTTTGCAGTGAAATGGGTGCCCATTTTTCACCTTGTGGAAGATTTTTAGCAGCCTGTGTTGCATGTGTGCTTCCCCATTTGGAAGCCGATCCTGGATCACAGAGTCAGGTCAACCATGATGTTACAGGCATAGCAACTTCCCCAACTCGACACCCACTTTCAGCGCATCAGGTTGTCTACGAGCTTCGGATATATTCTCTTGAGGAGGCAACGTAAGGCTTGAAATCTCTAATCGATGTGTTGGATTGCTTGCCTATTTGTACTTTTAAATATTAATTTTCCCTTATTCTAGTATCTGATCTCCTTTTTGTTTGTCTAGTTTTGGCACAGTGCTTGCATCACGGGCTATAAGAGCTGCGCATTGTTTAACATCTATCCAAGTAAGTTTTCTTTTTTCTTTTTTTCTTTTCTTCTGTATTTTGCTGAAGATCTAGTCTAGCAAGTTTCTTCCAGATTTACCCTAGATAAATTGTCACGAGCATTCTCTTTTATGATTCAAGTGAAGATTACATTTTCTCGTTCTGCTTTTCAACTTTCTTATTTAATTTTCTGAAATATTTGCATCCTCAAAACTGAATGAAGCTATAAAAGAAATTGAAATTGCTTTCAAAAGAAGCATATGGTGTAATTTGTTTCTGAAGGGATATCCTGGTACTAAAAGAATAGGGCTCAAATGTTGGTCACTGATAAAGCGATTGTGATTTGAAAATAAAACTTTTCAGATTGTAAATCATGATACATAATATGCATAGATCTAATTACTGCCAAAAAATACCACATACAGTTTCATTTATTGAACTCTGTGTTGTTCCTTCATATTCTAGAAAAGAAATTCGTGTTCTTGTTGTTATCAGCATTTATGATGCATTGTTGGCAACATTTGATGCTTGCAGTTCTCTCCAACATCAGAGCATTTATTACTTGCTTATGGCCGTCGTCACAGTTCACTCCTTAAAAGTGTCGTAATTGATGGAGAGGCAACAGTTCCTATTTACACCATTCTGGAGGTAAAAAGACCACAAATTTGCCTGCTCTTTTTGTTCAAGTATTTCCACTTTGGAGAATATATTCTAGTAGCAAATATCTCTGCAGTCGCCTATATGTCTAAGAACGATCATGCATTTACATTAAATGTTTGTACCACCTGTTTTTTAATTTCCACTGTCCTATGTGAGAACATTGGTTAACTGGTGATTTATACTTATGAATATGAATTTTTTTTATAATGTTGATTTAACAACTGACTTTATAATGCAATAGACTTTAATGTCTTACAGTCGTCTCTTGTTATAATCTGTTGTGTATTGAATAGCTCTATGTCGGTCATAGTGATGAATTTAGAATCCTAAAGCCTTCTTACAATGTTGATTAAATACTGAAGTACCGATTCCTATTTATCAGATCTACAGAGTTTCTGATATGGAACTTGTGAGGATTCTTCCAAGTGCAGAGGATGAGGTCAACGTTGCTTGTTTTCATCCTTCTGCTGGAGGTGGGCTTGTTTATGGAACTAAGGTATATGATTGAGGTTTTATTATGAGATTTTTAGGTTTTAGCTTTAAATAATGTCATGAGCCCAAATGTTTGTTTTTGTTGATTTTGCAGGAAGGAAAGCTACGGATCCTCCAATATGATCGTTCTCATGGCACGAATCATACATATGGTTTTCTTGATGAAAACATGATTCAGGTAGAAGAAGGCCGAAGTTAACAGATATTTTTGGGGTGTTCTTTTTTTTTATTATTTTTTTATTCTCAGGATATTTTGGTTACTAGTGATGCTAGCTTTCTTTCATTATAGGTCCCTACTTATGCTTTGGAATGCTAGAAGTTGCCGTTAAAATCTCCGTGAATCATGCCACACGGCTTAGCTGGTTTGTTCCTCTTCTTGGTAGATTGGTTTTATTATTTGAAATGAAGGAAATATTTTCCTAGACTTTGTCTTCTATCAACAACTATCCATCCATTGTCATGCCTCAACTTTTAATTTTTAGCCACTTGGTCTTATAGAAAATACTAGGAATTCACATAAATTTTTGGATTAATTACAAAAATTCCTTATGAATTATAGCCCTTGTAATACTTTCCCCCCAAATCTTTAAAACTTAACACTTGTTGCCCCTGAACAATGATATGTTAACAAAAAAAAACCCCTTTCTATTACAGAAATTACACATGTTGCATAAACAATAGCTGTTATTGATCAATTAGTGCATAATTACTATTTCACCCACACATTTTATTTTTTATTCTAATTTTCATGTAATATAATAAAATATTAAAAAACCAAAACAAAAAAAAAGGAGAAAAAAAGGACTGTTCTTCCTACAGCGACTCCCTCAATTGTCTTCACATTTCTTTTTCTTGGTTTACAGAGTTTTTTTTTTTTTTTTTTTTTTCTAAATAAGTTTAGGAAAGTTTTTTGTTTTAAAATTTTAGCAGTTCTAACATGAAATATATGTTCAAAAAATTTATATTAATTCTACCGAGGACAAAAGCTTCATCCTATTTTAAGCTTAAATTCGATTAATAGTGAATTTCTCATGATCAAAAAAATTCAAATATAAATTAGTTTCAAACTCAAATTTAATTTTAAAACCAAAAGTTACTAAAATACCCTCAAATTATGTACTACAAATTAGATATTTGTAGATTTCCGTTAAAAACCATAACATAAGGGGTTTTTTTTTTTTGTCAACGTCATGTTTGGGGGAATATGTGTTATGTTTTAAAGATCGAAAGGTAAAGTGTTACAAGAGCTATAGTTTAGGAGGAACTTTTGTAATGAGTAATTAGCATAGTAGGTGATAGTTTGATCTCTATTCTTTTAATCTTGACGAAATACCCCCTAAACTCTTTAATTAGGTGCAATTTATATATTTCCGTCCATATGTGTTAAGTTTTTAACAGAATGCATCATGTGTTAGACACGTGATCTAAAATGGCAGGGTATTTTCGTAAAATTACTATTATTATATTTTAATAATGAAGGTAACAAGAAAACTCAAATTCATTCTAAACACGGTCAAGGCATTAGTTCATTCAAACTTGGATGTTGCAAGTACAACTGCACATAGAGAGGTTCGCTGTTCATCGACTTTATCTGGGTTATTAATGGAGGTTGCTGCTTTTTTTTTTTTTTTTTTTTTTTTTTTTTTTTTTTTTTTTTGGGGGATCTGTTGGGATGCGCAACTCTGAGACCTTATTCAAACTCACCTCACGAAGGGATCAAAATAAGCAATTATTTCCCATCTGCAATCTAAAGTGAAGAGAGAATCTTTAACACCCCATTTCAAATTACTTGAGATAAAAGAATTAAAAAAAATGAAAAAGGGGTTGTTGTAGCAAGACCTCAAAAACCAGAAGCATTTTTTTTTTTTTTGGGTAAAGAGAAACGAGATTCTGTTCATACAACTTCTTCATACCAGCTTGTTAAAAAAAAAAAAAGAAAAAGGAAAAAAAAACTTGAAAACTTGTGCAGAAAAAAAAAGCATCAAGAACACAGACTGGCTCCTCACTTCAGTAGTTGGAGCAATCTAAGCAAAACCAATAAAATCCAATCATTTTGAAAGAGGAAAAACTTGAAGAAATTTCTAAAAGTTTTTTACCAACACAGACGCAACACACTCAACCAGTTGAAGCAATCTAAGCAAAATCAACAAAGTCCAATCATTTTCCAATCAGAAAAACGCCCAAATCCTCAAAAAGAAACACCATAATATTTGGGCGGCGGCCGTTTGCATGGCAATGGATCTGGTTTGGACGATGTCGGCTTGCAGAGGGACAAATTGGCTGTGCGACGGGGAGGGAGGATTGAGCTTAGAGTGCCATGGTTGTCATCATAATATTTGTTAGGATTTAGCTTTGTAGAAGAAGAGGTAAAAAAAAGTTTTATAGAAAAACAAAAAAAGAAAAAGGCCTTCACTCTTTTTTATTTTATTTTATTTTATTCTTTTGAGTCCTCAAATGCAATTAAGGCCATTTTGGTCTTCTTAGTGTAAAAGCAGGTGGTGTGAGTAGTCACGTGCTGTTTACTGTGAGGAATTTGGCATATTAGAATGGAAGGGTGTAAATTGCACCTAATTAAAAAGTTTAAGGGTTGTTTTGTCAAGATTGAAAGAATAGAGACTAAACTGTCGTCAAGTAAAGAGTTTAGGGACCATCTGTGCCTATTACTCTTTTGTAATTAATCCTAAATTTAATAATCCTGATTGAAAGGTTAAAAGGGCCAGTGACATTAAGATACAATGAGGCATGTGTTTTCTGATATAGGAAAAGGGAATCTAAAAGTTGATTTGTAAACTTCACTTCTTTTGGCTCTGTTTCCTTTTGAAGGTTTCGTAATCTTATTTGTTTGGTTTAGGAACCTCTGTCCAGTGAATCTGTGTATCTACTGGGCAGGACACAATCATTAGTTATTTATTGAGGATGCAAAAAGGAAAACGCGTCTCCAGCTAAACTTGGGAAGGTCGCCTAGAAAGCAAATTTGAAATTTGAAACTTTCCTGCATATTTGCATTTATGGATACAGCATATATCATACAATTGTGTCATTCAAGTTGAACTACATGCACACACTTAATTACGATTTTATTTTTTTGCCATTGGTTTTTAGCATTGGAACCCAATTTAGCGGCTGGATGAAAACATTCGTTGATCGGAGAATTGTCATTGCTTTGTCCCAGGATGGGGTCAAGAATGACCATCCGGACGTGTTGTAGCTAGCTGTTGAGATGTGCCAACATTCGTCGTCTTCCACATTGCAGTGAGCCCTGTTCCAGTCTGTTGTTCCTTCAACCCGCGGTCAATGATATGTGCAGTACGAGTTGGTAATTTCCCTTTGTTGTTTCACAAGAGTATAAGCTAGACAATTAGGAAAATGATCTAACTTGGAGTCAGATCAGTTAGTTGAAGCAAAGGGTTGACTAGAATGATGTTATATTATTAGTATGTGCTCGTTCGGTTTCCTGTTTTAAGATCGTTAATATGTAATTGTTCCCTTTTGTTTTAGAAATGTAAGTAAATTTCATTCAGTTTCCAATACAAATTATCTTAAAGGATTATGGTCGAAATGGTAACCAAGAGTTTTGTTCCCTCCTAATTTCCTTTGGTAAGCATTGATATAGTGTAGATGTGGAGGGATGACTTGATTTGGCCTCGTGACATTACATAAAATCAACTGCAACTTTGTACGGATCCCATAAATATGCAAGTAGAAAGAGAGACAGAGAGAGAAGGAACTTAAATTCTTTTTTAAGTTTACTGGGAATTTGCTTATAGTAACAAGACTCGATAAGCTGTCTCAATCGGAAAATTCGTTAGAGGAGATCTAATAGGTATGGCAAACTAATAAACCAAGGTATTAGCACAAAAATGATATACACATATACAGGGCGTCTCAAGGTGGCTAGAGACTTTAAGCGAAATTGTATAAAGGGATTTTTTTAAAAATTATATACATTTTTATATTTTAAGAGTTAGTTGATATATATCTTAAATTTAGTAGATCATTTGACTAATGCATTTAATAATTTCTTTCACATTGTGGATTTTAAGTACGATCGTAGTTAATTTATTTTATCAATATATATTTTTTTTTTCTACGATCATCATACTCCTAATTCATATGTTTCAGCTACTAAACTTTGACTTTTAATCGGATCTTTTCATTGCCAGTTAGAAATTAATCAAGAGCTTCTCTTCAGGATTCAATCAAATTTTCTGCTCTCAAGGTTATTCTCTTAAATTCTTTGTATCCAGATTAGTATATATATTCGTAATTTATGTTAGACAAATAACAAACCATCTATCTAAACAAGGCAATAGATAAAAATGTGATATGAATCTCAAAAACGAAATTAAGAATAATAGAACTGGTACAAAATTATTCAAATATTGAACTAAAAACCTTTAAATTGTACTGTTAGAATATATATATATATATATATATATTTAATAGCGTTCAATTGAATGTTGAGATGGAAGGAATAGAAATCAGGAATGAAAACGCTGTATTGTTGGAGGTTGTTTTTCTTTTGAGAGGAGAAAATATCTCTGTGTTTAGAGGACAATAAGAAATATTAACATTTCAAATGAAGAAAATTAAATGGTAATAATTATAAAATATTAATAGCAATAATTGTTTCTTGAGATTATTCTCCATCTTGATTATAATCTTTTACTTCACTAAAATACGATTAAATTTTAGAAGATTCACTAGAATACACTAGAAAATATACACAACTAAGTTTTTTTTTTTTTTTTTTTTTAAAAAATTACAAAAAAGAATCAGCAAGATGGGGCATTGGTCCATTGGGGCCAAGGCAATGGCTTTAATGGCCTTCCCCTTGAGCCGCCCCTGCATATATATATATATAACAGAAATAGTAGAAAATAAGTCAATATGAAAAATTTAAGAAATTATATAAGTCAATTTTTAGTTATAGAAATTAATAGGTCATAACTTGTCAAGTTATGATTTATAACTAGATAAGTTATGGATAAACTTGTCAAATTATGGTTTATAGCCAGACAAGTTATAGACAAAAACCGTGAATTATGGACAATAACTTGTCAAGTTATGGTTCATAACCAGACAAGTTATAGATAAAAACAGTAATTTGGCCTATTTATTAACTTATGTAAACTATTAGCCTATTAATTTTAATTCATCTCAAGTCTTGGCCTATTTCCATATTTCTCAAATAATTTTTGAAAGTACATGAGATTTTTATTCTTTATTCTTTATTCATAACTTTTTTAGTCAAATAATTATACTAACAAAAATTTATTTATTAAGAGTAAAGGGTAAAGGTTGATGCTCATGTACTTCAATGGTGAATTTTCTATTTTTTCAAAGAGGCAATTCTCTTCTTATCTATATTAATCATAGGTTCTTTACGAGAAAATTAAAAAATTTACCAGTGTATGAGTTTAGTTACTAATACACTTTTGATTAATAAAAATTTAATTAAAAAAATATTAATTAAAAATAAAAAGTAAAACTTATGACACTTACAATTTAAAAAGATATTTATCTCTTTTTCGTTAGATTTATTTACAAAACTTAGGAATAGTAATTTAGCGGGCTTACCTAAGAAATTTATTGACACGCCAATTTTTTATTACGACACCCCTATATTTAAATTGTCACCCTTATTACAGTTATGCCCTTAGTTCATCAAAAATACACCCCATCAGCTTTATTTTCTGGAAAATCATAATTGTCAAAGCCAAATACATAAAAAATTCAGTGCATCTGAAATTCATCATCAACAAAATTCTTTTCTTTCTTTCTTTCTTTTTTTTTTTTAGTTTGTTTATCTTTTGTTTAATATTCCTTATTTGAGTTTAGGGTTATTTTGATCAAGACGATCGCCAATTTTCCTATTAGATAAGCAAGCCTTCAAACAACACAATGAACACATAAATGATACATTTCATTTTGTCTTGTATTTTTTCTTTCTTTTATTGTGTTATCTTTCTAGTTAATTGCTAACAAATTCATCTCAGGCAAAATGGAAATTTTATTTGTATAATAAGCCGAAAGAAAAAATGACAACTGAAAACAAAAGAGTGAAAAGAAAACGACAAAGACGAGAAAATTTAGGAGAATTTGGGAGAGGAAGTGAGAGAGAGAGAAAGTAGAGTCAGGCAAGGACAGAGGAGATGAGATGTGACTGAGGGATTGCTGGAGTAGCGGTGCAGGGAGCTTTTTTGTTCTTCACTTTAGTTGTCTCTTTTGGTCATTTTACTAATTGAGGGGACGCCTTTACAGTTATATGGGATATAAATAAAATTTTCCTATTGGGAATGAGAGTGAGCACTAATCCTTTTAATATTTATTTATGGTTAATCTCACTCATACTTCTTAAATTTTAAAGTCATTATTGTTTTAAAAACTCTTTTTTTACTCATAAATTTTGAATTAGTCCTATTCAAGCTCTTTCATAAAATGTCTTGTTAAAATCAAACTGAAAAAGTGGTTAAGTGCAACGACCTAGCTTCTAAAACCATTATTAACCTTGACTTATAGCAGAAACTTAATTAACTTTATAAAACTTAACACTTAGGATCCATTTAGTTGGAGGGATGGAGAGTAGGAATGATAAAAAAAGTTAGATAGATAGAGAGTAGGAAGGATGTAGAGGATTATAGTTGTAACACCCCAGAGAATTAAATGTGATTAATTAAAGTAATTGAGATTTATTAGTGTGCCTAATCTGAATTAATTAATTGGTTATTAATTAATAAATATTTCTGACGTGTAAAGTTGAATAATTTTAAGGTATTTAAATATTCTTAGTATTTATATTTTCTATCCAGAAGTGTATATGGGTACATTTCTGACTGTTATTTTAAATTTTTGCCACTTGTCTTTTCTTTTCTTTTCTTTTTCCTTTTTCCTTCCTTTTCTTTTTCCTTTCTTTCCTTTCCTTCCCATGCACCCTCACTCTCACTCTCTCGTTCTCTCACTCACTCTCTCTCTCTCCCGTTTTTGTCTCAAATCAAACCGGATTCGAATCAAAGAGGAATTTCAAAGAGTTTTTAACGTCAAGAGAAGGATTCGAGGTAAGATTACTGAAAGAACCTCTCTTGAATCTCAAGTTTTCGTATTTTAAAACTTATTTTGGTTCAAAATGGATTTTGAGTAAAACTAGGGTAGAAATTAGAGATCTTGGGTTCTTTGGACTTAATTTAGTGCCTAGAACCCGGATCTAGTAGTTGTGCCTTGAGATATCTTGATTTGGGACTAGATTTGCAGGTTTTCAGACTGATTTTGTGAGTTTTCTCGCACTGGTGTTCTTCACCGGTCGACTTGTGCGGTCAACCGGATTGCATTGGTCTGACCGGTTGACCTATCCGGTTGACCGGATTGCACAACACCGGTCGACTGGTGGTGTTGCACTGCTCTGTCACCGGTCGACCGGTGTACATGGGGTTTGACCCCGTTTGGCCTGAAAATGCTGTTTTGACCTATGTTTTCAAGGAGGACCCAAATTAGCTTAATTTGGGGACATAGAGTAGATAGATTAGCATCTTTAATCCATGTTTTGAGATTGAAAACCCTTAGAATGATGATTTGAAACTTGAAAATTGATTAGGGCACACTAATAGGAAATCAAAGGATATGATTGAGATTGAATTACTTTAGGAATGTGAATTTAATCCTAAAGTATTGTCTTGTATCAGTGTTAGCTGAGGACTCGGATTGAGTGGCTTGAGGAAGCGGAAGCCGGAATAGTGCGCCGCTAGCCACGGTTTTGGGAAAGCGGAAGCCGGAATAGTGCGCCGTTAGCCACAGGTTTGATAATTACGAAGTAGGATTTCTATCCTTTTTCTTGTGAGCCTGTTTTCAAAAGGATTTTGGCCTTGCAAATGTTTTAAAGAAAGAGGCTTGTTTGCGAAAGAAAAGTATTTAAAACCCATGGCTTGTGTAGTTCATGGTACCCATGGCTTGTTGTAGTACATGGGACCATGGCTTGTTGTAGTTCAGGGGACTCATGGCTTGTGTAGTTCATGAGTTTATAACAAACGATTTCGTAAAGTTTAATGAATGATTTCTTAAGATAAGAGATCTTGCGAATTAGTAAACTGGCTGATGGCCAAGATAAGATGTAGAGAGTGCATCCTTGGAGGCAGGACCCGAAACTCCGAGGGTATGGCTTGTGCACGTGGTTGTGTAAGTAATTTATCTTAGTATAAATTACTTACTGATGCCTGTAATATGGATATATTTTCAGATATATATTTCCTTTGAGAAAAAGGATGTGAGGTTCCGGCTATTGTGTCGGGACTAAATGTCTTATTTTATTTACTTATCTATTTATTTATTTACTCGCTCATTTATTTATTCATTTACTTATAAAGTTATTTCAAATTATATCCTACTGAGCCTTTCGCTCACGTTTCTATGTTTTAATTATATTAAACCCCTCCCAGGCGACTTTAGGAGCGGTGCGGAGTAGTTGGATTACTTGTTACTGTTCGATTTAGTGAGGATTATGTTCATCCTCTTGAAAATATGTAAGGATTTGTAAACTCTAATATTTGAATTACTAGACTGTGGATGATGTCTGTAATGTAATGATT